CAAAAACACCCTTAAACCTACAGACATTCACTCGTATGATATTGAAAAAGAAAATATCAAAAGATAAAACGATTCCGTTAAAAAATATGTCATAATCACTTCAATCTATAGACTAAAATGTCAATAGAATACATAGATGATTATTTCGAATTCTCACAAATGAAAATTTAAAAGATCAAATTTCTTAAGAGCAGAGGAGATTCCCACACGAGAGAGAAATTTCTCTAAGTGATAGAAATAGACATTTCTCTAGTAAGAGAAAAACCTCTCATAATAGAACATTTCTCCAAGTAAAGAGATAAGTGATTCAAATTCCTTGACGTACAATTTGGAGGACTAAATTATTTTAAGGGGAGAAGATTTGTAATACCTAACTGGTGAACCAGCTGAGTACAAAAGAAAAAAAAATATTAACTCATTATATAAAAGAAAAATGTAGAGAGAAGGAGAACAAACCAAGCGTCAAATATATATATGTAATGAAAAAGCAGAGAATAAAAAGAAAAAATAGAGGAAAGAGTGAGGAGAGAGTGACACGACAGTAAGAGGAGAGAAATGGTTAAGCGGCGTCGACGACCGAGAGAGAGGGGTCACGTAGTGTTGCACGACACCACAACCAAAAGAGAAAGAAAGATGAGAGCAATCACCATCAGTTAGAGAGAGAAAAAGAGGAAAAAGAGAGAAGAGATGCAGTGGGTAGAGAGAGAAGAAAGAAGAAAAAAGAAGAAAGGAAGAAGAAAGACGAAAAAAAAAAGAGAAAAAAGAAGAAAGAATAAGAAAAAAAAAGAAAGGAAAAAGAAAAAAAAAGAAACAAAAGAGAGAAGAAGAGGAGTTGCGGGAAAGGAGGATGAAGAAGGAAAAAAAATGAAAGGAAACAAAAAAGAAAGAAAAAGAAAGGAAAAGAAAGAAAAAAGAAAAAGAAAAAGAATAAAAAATAAAATAATAAAAAAGAAATAAAATGAATGAAGAAAAAAATAGAAGTGTGGCTGCCAAGATGAAGTTGGTGCGCCACATGCGACAACGTACACTGATTCGATTATCAGCACCTAACATTTTTGGTAACACATGTGTATAATGGTGCATGGTGACGTTGACGACCGAGACTGCGTTTTCTAAGGTAAAATTCGTTCATCATTTTACGTAATATAATTTTAAAATTATTCATAATTTAATCTATGTGTTTTCTATTATAAACTAGGAAAACTAGCCAAACAATATTTGGATTTCCGAGATGATCGTTGATTGAGATAGAAATGAGTCCCAAAGCTTTATTGATTAAGAATTATGTGTATTCTGTACGAAAACATAAATTATATATTTATGTAAATGTGTATATATATATATATATATAATGCATTGTGTGCAAATGTTTAAATGTATGTATAGTATAATATATATATAATTAGTATATCTAATTTATATTTGTTTATATTTATGTAGTGTATATATACATATATTGTTACGTATGTGTGTGTGTGTATATATATAAAAATATACGATGAATGTGATATGAATTGATAAGAACAGAATTAATAAAAACAAAATTGATAAGAATAAATACGTGAATAATTACATATGATGTGTTGTGAGTATATATACATGTTTAGGTATGAATGTGTATATGTATTGATAGAGATCGTGTGTGTCTGAATATAAATATATATTATGTGTGAGACATATAGTGATAGTACATGTTTATATTATAATATATGTGTGTACACATGTTATACGTGTGAAATGTATAGCCAGTATATGTACATATGGAATTTGGGTACATTGCATTTGCTGTGTGATCTAGTATAGATGTACGACGCACTGTACTTACTGTGTGATCTGGTACAGTTGCGTGAGAAATCTAAGTATCTTGTGCTTATTGTGTGATATAACACAAGATGATTCAGAAAGTTGTTTGAAACATATGACTTCTATATGTGTGATGATATCGTGTATTGTATGTGTGTTTGTATTTAATTATAGATAGAAATTAAGATTTTATGTATGAAATAAGTGAATTGATAACGAGAGAGATTTGGAAAGAGTATAGAGTGTAAGGATCCTAAATATTTATTCGTTTAGTCTGAATTGAGGAGGAAAGTATGTGTGTGTAGCTGAAGTTCAGCGGGTACAGTGAACCTGTATATGGATAGAGTTTGAAACCTAATCCAGATATGGATAGGTGTTTGTGGGTGGGTCACTTAGCAAATATACCTGCTATGGCAATTGTGAAATTTATGTGTGTGTGTTATCCATGTGACGAGGAGATCCATTTCGCATTTCCTTGATGACGACATAAACAACATCAGACGATGAAACCTTAATTATGATATTCTGAGTGTATTATGATAGTTCAAATGTAAGTGTGATTTGAATAAGAATAAAAATAAAGTTATAAGAGTGACGATTAGAATATGTTTCATGTGATGATTTGTTTTATTGTATATTTTGATTGTGATATTTGTTTTATATTTTTTTTATGATAAAACATTATTTTATTTTATATATTGCGTGAATATATGTACTTGAGTCTCTGTTATTGAATTTTTTTTTTATGAATTTGTGAGGCTCACCCAAATTCACCCATATCCAGATCAAAGAAATCAAAGATCAAAGAAGATGACGAAGAAAACTTTATTAATTTTTATTTTAATATTGTAAATTAATTTAGATGCTTCAATTATGTGTAAACAATAATTATCCAGTCACAAGATATGTGTATTAAAGTTTAGCTCCGCTGCGTATTTAATATTTATCTGTTTCACTAGTTGGAAATGTTGTGATAACATCCGTACCCACCGATATTGGGGTTCAGGATGTTACATTATAGATTTATAAATGAGATTTATAATAATAATTCGTTATACTTAAAAAGTTGAGGACCAGATATGCATTGGTAGCTTAAAGGAGAAAGAACATCTGGCAAGTTTTTAGTTAATCTTGTAGGCTTACTTATTAACTCAATTTCTATTTCTTTTCAGATTACTGAAATCTGCTATAATTTAAGTTATACAAACTAAAGATTATTTTCCTTTTCTATATTTCATATCATTTTCATGATGAAAGATAAGATTTTTTTCTATATTTTGATTAGCAATACCTTATTTGGTATGAAATGGAAGTGACTAATCTAAAAGTGAAACGTATATTCATTTACGTTACTAGTCGCGTTCTAAAAGACTATAAATATGTCTTCTTATTTTCAAAAATTTTCAATTCTTAGCAGCAACTAGCTATTATCATATATTTTTTCTTTCAAGGATGGCGAAGATGTTTCCGAAGAAGGTTCAACCAAAAACAATCAAGAGATTAAGTACTCGACGAGTTCCTTCTTCAACCCCTAGGTCCAGCTTACTTGAGAAAGCAAAGCAAATTTATGCTCTATGTGTAGTGCGGATGGTGCTAATTATGACATCTCCCACAAAAGCTTTCCTCCTTTGTTTTCCTGATAGTGACACAATCACAAATGGTCACCAGGATGGTGACAAGAGATCAATATTAGGGCTCAATGAGTGCTCTATTCAGCGCGGTGACAACAAGTTGATGAAGTGGAGCCAGCTCTATTATTGGATGACCACCCCGATTGAGTTGCTCCAGTCAGATGAAATAACAGAGTTAACCTCAATCATGGATAAAGCTCATGAGCGAATAAGGATACTGTGCCAAGCACTCAGGAACATGGCTTATACTCCAGATAGCAATAACTCTGCCAACAATCTATGTATCCCTTCCTTGGCTAATACTCATGGCCCAAGTGTTGGCCCTGATAATTAAAACTAGTAAATTTGGAATTGTGAAATAAGTTTGGTTAGGTCATCTTTTGTTATAGGTCTTCAAATTTAGATGAAATGATCTTAGCCAAACTGGCTACCGTTATAACTGCTTATCATATAATAAATAAAAGAAATAATTGGAGTTTTATATTTTAGATATACTTAAATTGAATGATGATGAATGCTTGATATTTTAGTTTCGTGAATATTTGTATTAATTAATGTACTTGATGTTATCTGAGATTGTGAAATAATTCTTATGACAAATCTATATGCCTAGCCATTATTTATTAAAGACAAAGTATGCGGAATTGCAGGCTTGCTAGTTTCCCAAACAACCTCTTAAAGGAAATGATGAGATCGGTGCCACTAAAATTAGTGTTTTGGCAAATTGGATTTAGATGTCTATTATTTTATTTTTCCAAGTTCTTCCTTTTTTTTTCTTTTATGCTTGATAGCATCTTTTGTGTCATGCTTTTTTTTTTTTTTTTTACTCGTACGAGATAAGATGCTAGATAATTCAGAGTTAATTTATCTTATATAAATTTTTATTATAGTTCAACCAAATTAAAAGTATTAATTGTGAATTATATAATTTGATTTAAGTTGTTCAATCTATTATATTCTAATTAAAACTATATTAAATATTTAGATAACTTGCTTATATTTATTTTTTAAATTACAATTATGATGATATAGATAATTTCCCTACATTGTTTGAAAAATTAATCATATTCAGTTAATTTATACATATTTATATGTTTACTTTAAAAATAAATTTTAGTACTTATAATATTAGTATAAATTTTTTAATTTTAAATATTAATTATTTTTATTCATACAATTTATATGAGATTCAACTTTATTTAAGAATTGTAATAATACTGTTTGATGGTTGGTGATAAAAAAAAAAAAAAATTACTACAACCTCGATATTACAAATTAAAAAATTTTAGTGATTAAAAATTATAATTTAATATTTAAGGTTATAATTTTTTTTATTTTAAAAATATCCTATAGATATTTAGGGATATATTTGTAAGAGACTCAAATTTTATTTTAAAATTTTGATAAAATTTAAATTTATTTCAAATGCAATTTTAAATCCCAACTCAATTTGACCGGCCCACCCGGCCCAAAAGTGGAGAATGTATTATAATATAATTTTGAAGACTCGTGACTTGCACGTGCACAGCGCGGACCTGTGGAACAGGCGAAATAGAAACGCGAACAGAAAAGGGTTTCATTTCGTGTCATCTGGAACAACGAGAGAGAGAGAGAGAAACTGAAGAATGGCTATGGCGACCGTTCGATCCGCTCTTCTTCGAACTGCAATGCGCGGAAGCCCTAAAGCTCCCGCCGTTCCCAAGAGAGGTTTTGCTTCTTCTGCCCATCACGACGAAGCTGGTATTTCTCTCTCTTTGTGTACAAATGTTAATTTTGATTTCGATCTCACGCGGACTAGGGTTTTAGTTTATCCTCTTGTTTCTGATATTATTAGGGCGGATTTATGGTTGATATTGGCGTTCCCTGAATGTTTTTGCTTTTAGATTCGTAGTTCTTTGTTATTTTCCATTGTTGCACCGGATGAAACATGGTTGGAGAGAAGAGAATTAGTTATTCTTTGATTGAGGATCTATCTACTTTTTGACTAGATTTACGGTTAATGTGTTTGCTTTTAGATTCGTAGTTCTTTGTTGTTTTTCAGTGTTGCGCCGGATGAAATATGGTCGGAGGTAAGAGAATTAGGATTTCTTTGATTGAAGATCTATCTATTTCTTTGGCTAGATTATAGAAGCATTTCTTTTTTACTTTTTTGGCTTCTGATTTCCATGTAATTGATTTGGTCTTTTGATTTGTTTTTTAAGCTGAGGCTTCAAAGTGGGAGAAGATAACTTATTTGGGAATTGCTACATGCACTGTTCTAGCGATCTATAATTTATCCAAGGGTCATCCCCACCATGATGATCCTCCTGTGAGTTTTGTTTTTAGATCATGTTTACTTAGTTTGTTCTGTTCTTTATATTCTTTTTATATTGACTTTACGTAGTGTGTTTATTGTTTTTTGATGACTAGGTGAATCATTAAGGTTCCCCTTGTGTACTTTTGAACATCTGATCACTGTGTACTTTCGTCTCTCTCTGCAGGCTTATGATTACTTGCACATTCGCAGCAAAGAGTTCCCATGGGGTATGTTTCTTTGTGCTGTTGTCAACTTTTATTTAGTGCTCAGTTCCATAATTTTTTTTTTGTGTCACAACATTCTATTGGTCTTTTGTTGTTTGGCTTTCTTTTTTGGCCTATGTTCTATTGCTGGAGTGAGTGGGAAACCTCTCTTCAACAAGCAAGCATTTTTACCATAAAGGCATTTCTGTTAGTTTAATGGGGGACTTTGATTATTTCAAAAAAATGGGGGATTCTGACATCCTTAGATTAGGTGGTTTTATTCAAGGCAGTTAATGAGGAAAATATTATCTGTAGTGATACCATGGGCTTTGGGTGGCTATGACTCCCCTTATACCTGACTAGCTAAGCAGAAATTGGAATTGTAGTTTTCCAAGTAATTAAAAGTGGAAACAATCTGTTTGTCTTGTTATATTATAAGGCCTTTTGTCCTTTTTACTTTGTTCTCAAGATTTTTAGGTAGGTTTTATGCAAGACTCACAATGGCCTTATTTGAATCATTCATGCAAATTTAGTGTTGAATCCAACATTAGGATTGGTTTCATCTCCAGTCTTCATGAAAGTATGGCCTAGTTTTATTTTTTTGTTGTGTATTCGCTTTCTACTCACTGTATTGGGACACATTTGAGCATATTGAGGTTGTTGGCACTATGGATTCTCGTTGCATGAAGATGCTCGAGTATTTTGATTACATTTTCATAATTTCACATTAACCAAAATAGTGGAAAGCATCTCCTTTGAAGATTTAATTTTATTTGTTTAGTTTATTCAAAATGGCAGTGTAATCTATAGTATTACTAATTGCTGGATTGTTGGACCTTATTTTTCTTTTTTGAAGTAAAAAGTATACCGTATCATTACGTCACAGCACCAAGGGGTGACCTATGTACAAAATTATTTACAAATCAGTTAATATGTCAATAAAATCCGAAATTCATCAAGAGAAAGAATGGGGTCCCCAACACCTGGTGCCATCTCTCTCTAACTTTACCCGTGTCCTATTCTTTTCCCTCAAAAGCTCTCTTATTTCTCTCTCCACACAATCTATAATATTGTAAGAGGAATGAGCTCTAAATGCTTCCTTCCGTTGCTGTTTCTTTTTCAAGCCCATAACTCTTCCTTAGCTGATCCAGTGATTGCTTTGTTTATCCCCAAAAAACCATAGGCCATGATCCATAATTCATATGTATATGGACACCAAAGACCTTTGGATCTTATTATGTGATGATCAATGTGGTACACTGCAAAGGTTTAGTTAATTGGATTATTGGATGATTCTGATACAGTGAATATAATCCAAGCAGCTGCTTATGATAGTTTATAGCTCCTTTTGGACCTATTGTTCCTCCCTGCAACATTTTGGCCTCTTCCAAAATGGCGTGCCCCTCTAGCGGTCAGCCTAATGCATTTTGAAATTTGAAATTATCAGATCCTGATTTGGGTTTGGGTCCTTTCTTCTCAACCTGGGCTCCCCCCCCACACCTGGCTCCTCACAGCTGCAGCATAGCTTCCACCTTGAAGTGGTTCCAGCTGCAACCTCAAGTCCAATTTGCTTTCCCTATTTGCATAAAATAGGTTCTTTAAAATGGCTTTTGAATGCTCTGTGAATGTCTTGGTAGAGGATTTTATTTCGTGAAATCGAGTTTCATTCGTTTTTAAGTAAGTACATAACTAAATGGAAATTTGCTTTATGTGGATGTTTGTTTGTTTTAGATATGTGTATCTCCATTCAGGATATGGTTCTTGACCTTGCCTCTGGCTTGATCTTTATCCACCCATTTTTTTGTCTAGCATTGAGGTGGAACCAACTCTTTCTAGGTTCAGCTCTTGCAATACTTATCCGCCATCTTTGTTTTTTTGAAAATTATTGCAAGTATGGGCCAAACTTGTCTAGGTTGGATTGTTGATGTATACTCCTGTCATATTGTGCATTACAAATAGACTTACGTTGATTATGGTCTTTTTGGATTTCTGGCTGAGGATCTTATCCATATGTGCAGTCATTGGTTAATAGGAAACTATATATGTTGTGCATCACTTCTTTTTGGTAGTTATTCTAAATCTATATGGTAAAACTGAAGGGTTTTTAGATCTAATAATAAGAAAGCTGCTGCTTTGAACTCTTGAGACAGCTTTTGAATAGACTGGTTAACAGTCTTGAAGAAGTTCCAGTGTGACCTTGATTTGTAGGTAAAGTTCTTTGTTGAAGTGGCAAAAACAATTACAAAAGATACCATTGCAAATAAGTGTGTATGTGCTTGTTCAGATGTTTGGTAACCATCATAAAATCTAATTGCAAGCTGTTGCACAGTGATATTACAGTTTCTCATTCTGTGGTTTTGTGTCTTCTCCAGGACCAGATGGCCTTTTCGAGAATAAGCACCACTAGGACTTCCATGGAGAATTTGTTTCATAACTGTCCCTTGTTTATTTCTGTTGGAAAATTGCCTAAAAGATAAAAAAGACAGATGAATTTTCTGTTGTATGCCAGAAGCAAGTGTTTCCATTTTCTCTCCGGATGGTAGATTCTATCAGTTTGGTCTTTACGAGATCTTCATTGTATTGGTTTAAAACGCCTTTTACTAATAAGATCGATCCATGACTTGGAATTTTATTGCTGAACCTTATTGATCACTGTTGCAAGAAATCATTTTTGTTTGGTTACAATCTCGCGCATTAAGTATGCTACAAGAAAATCAAAGCAACGAGGGATTTGATTCTGGAAAATTGAGATTCAAATGAGGAGTAGTAGCAGTCCCACATCGTATCTGATTTATTTTTGTTTTTGCAAAATGATGAATAAGAGAAGCGATGCTGGATGAGGTATTCTGTCTTCGTAAAATTTAGTGGGCACTGAAAGGTGTTAAAAATGCAAGTTGGGAAGACGATATAAACTGGATTTTCGATAATAAATTGTTTTAATTATTTTAAAAGTGTAAATTTACAACTAAATTGAAAGAAGTTTTAGAATTATTCTAAATGTAGGTATGGGGGACACTTTCGGTTTTTGCTTGCTATCTTTACAATCTGCTGCCTTTACTGCTTCAACAATCTATATATATATATATATATATATATGTGGAGTTATATCAGTCTTCTTCCAACCTTGAAAACCGCCTAATGCTTTTATGCAGAAAACGACCGAAACAAGAAGCAAATTCTTGTCTCACCTAAAAATAAATGAATAATGTAACTATACTTTGATGGATTGTATACAACAGATTCCATCATCTATTACGACCTTTTTCTTGATTACATAAATAATATAAAGCATTCATGCAAGCATTAATACCCACCCCCCGTTTGTTATCTTGGTTTCAATGAGGATCACTTACATGATTAATTCGAAAATCTACATTTTGGTTGAATGAGAAAGTGTTATGACTTTAACATATAATAATAACATATAATCTTTTTAGCATTTCACGCTAATATTTCATTTTCTTGAAGGGAAAATGCTTACCGTTCATTGAAACCTGTATCGGCTATTTTACTCGAGCATCGGAGTCAATAAAATAGGTAACTAAGTGAACACTTATCGAATCATCAAGAAGTATGCCATAGTTCATCTTATAGAAGTTAAATGAGTAACAACGTTGAGATTTATTTTTACTTTGGTAGAATGTAATAAATAATCTTCTAGATTGTAGATTGGAGTTTGTCGCTTGTTACAACTTCAACAAGGCATCCAAATCGCACTACTCTGTCCATGTTCAATCCACAATTTAAACTACATTGCTGTGCCTATATTATTTATAGAATTAGAAGCTCAACTCAAACATTTAACCATTATATTTACCAGGGTTCTAGTCGGGATCTTACAACTGAAGAACATGAATTAAAACCAAAGAAGATTTATAATCGCCCAAATCATCGACGGCAGCAATTCTAAGTACAAAACTTCTCTAATATTTAATCAACAGTCGTGTGAAACAACAAGACCACTTGTGAAGAACATCACTCAGCAACTGCATCTTTGCCGTTGTTCACGACAGAAGTGGTCTCCAGCAAAGTTCCCGCATCTGTTCGAGCATCTTCCTCTTCTCGAGAGATAGAATTATCTGACAAAGAACTATTCTCATTATTCTGGCTTGCATCTGTATTACTACCTGTGTCTGAAGATGCCTCTTTCTCCTCTTGAGGAACATTAGTATCTGAGGATGAACCATTCTGGGCGTTCTGGCTTGCAACTTTGTTAGTTTCTGAAGATGAACCGTTCTGATCATTCTGATTGTCATTTATGTTACTACCTGTGTCTTGAGATGCCTCTTTCCTTTCTTGAGAGAGATTAATCTCTGAAGAAGTGTTCTGATCATTCTGGTTTTCGTTTTTGTTACGACTTGCGTCTGTAGATGTCTCCTGTTCTTGAGTATCAGTATCTGAAGAAGAACCATGCTCACCATTCTGGATTGCATCTGTGTTACTACCTGTGTCTGTAGATGTCTCCTTTTGTTCTTGAGTATCAGTATCTGAAGAAGAACCATTCTCACCATTCTGGATTGCGTCTGTGTTACTACCTGTGTCTGGAGACGCCTCTTTCTGTTCTTGAGTATTGGTATCTGAAGAACCATTCTGGTTTACATCTGCATTATTACCCATGTCAGGAGATGCCTCTTTCTCTTTTTGAGAAATATTAGTATCTGAATTCTGATTATCCTGGCTTGAATCTGTGTTATTACCTGTGTCAGGAGATGCCTCTTTCTCTTTTTGAGAAATATTAGTATCTGAATTCTGATCATCCTGGCTTGAATCTGTGCTATTACCTGTGTCAGGAGAAGCCTCTTTCTCTTCTTGAGAATTTGAAGACCCAGAAGAATCTACTGATTTCTCGTGGCCAGCATCGGCATTATTGTTGTCATCGGTGTCTCTCTGAACAGCATTAACATCTTCATTCTGGCCTGCCTCACTGTTGCTATCTGCATTTGAGGATGCATCTTCTTTTTGTGTGTTTGAAGAATCAGAAAACTGAACTTGTTCCTTTTGCTCAGAATTATAATTTTCATTTGGATTGTCAGTCTGGCCACCAGGCAGAGCAGATGCCAAATTGCTGATAGAATCTATGCCCTCCCCATTCTCTGTTGTCGTGGAAGGGTTTGTGTTTGAATCTGACTGCTCACTATTAGAATCTGATTCAGATTTCTCTGTTTGCTGCAGGACAACATTTTCTGATGAAGAACCATCTGTTGTCTTGTCTTGATATTGGGTTCTATTCTCAGTTTCATTCTGTGGAGATGAATCAGTTTTTTCTTCTGAGTTTTCTCGCAGCTGCTCATTTGATTCTGTTGAGTCCATGGAATTTGGATTGGAACTCTCCTTTGTCTCTTCACCAGTAGCTGTGTTTATAAAATCATTCTTCTCAACAGTTTCTCCCTCCTGCACGTTTGAGGCTGACTCATTTTGATGAGTTTCAACTTCATCAGTTCTGTTTGCTTTGTCCTCTTGCTCAACTGAGTCATTTTCTTTGTTTTCTACCTGCTCTTTCTCATTAAGATTTTCTGAACCACCTTGTTCATTTTCAGCTCCATTATTTTGAGTTTCATGGACTACTTCACTGGAGGCATCATCCCCCTTGTAATGTCTCTCTCTTGCTTCCTCACTAGTCAGATCACTTCTTTCATGAACCTGATCTTCTGATGTACCTGAATTCTCAGTCTTATCTTCCTTTTCTTCAAATTTATCCTCTTCACTGATCTTCTCTTTGCCCTCATCAGCCTCCTCGTGTTCACTCTCCTTCTCGTTGCTCTCTTCACTTTGGATATCCTTGTTCTCTCCCTGATCAGTTTCTCCACTATTGTTCTCTTCACTCCCTTCTTGTGCGCGATTTTCACTTTCTCCACTCTCCTTCTCATTGCTGCCATTGCCCCCGCTCTCTTCATTATTCTCTTCTTTTTTCTCCTCAATCTCCTTCTCTTCATTTTGTCCCTCTAAATGATCTTCCCTATGCTCGTTTACCTCTTCAACCTTATCTGGTTCATGATTTTCAGTGTCATCATCCTCGCCAACTTTTCGCAAGTTATCAATCTCCCCAGGCTTGCTTTCTTCTTCTTGTTCATTCTTGTTCCCTTCTTCATCTTCTTCTTCCTTGTGCCCTGCATCCCTAATGCCTGTTTCCTCCATTCCCGTGTTCAGATCTTTTCTTCCCAACTTCACAACCTCATTTCCGGCCTTCGTACCTTTCTCATATGCTGCTTTCTTATCAAATGAATGCCTGACTTGGTAGAGCAACCAGATACAAACACCAATCAGAAGGCATAGTTGCAGACAATGCTTCACCTTGAAGCCTTTGGATCTCTGATGTCTATGCGGCGACACCCTAAACATGTTGAGTTTTCCTTTGGCCACCTGTCCAAAATTTCAACAGAGAACAATTTCTTCAGCATTTCTTGCAAGACAATAAAAATCTTCAATATCTAACGTAGCTCCATTGCCGGAGAGTGTAATGAATTGGAGCTAACAGATTCAATAGACCAAAAAGGAGAATAATTGAACCTTAAGTATATGTTAATACCATGTTTCACACGAAGTTCAACAGAATCTAAGATCACTGATAACAAATCTGAGCACAAATCGAGGCTTAGAATAAATAAACGCCAAGATCCTGTGAAATTATGTCATTCATGAAGAAGCATATAGCTCAGAATCTGACAGAACAAGAAAAGCAGAGATCTAACAGATGAATTCTTTCTAGAAACAAAAACTCTTTTAGGCTTTTTCCATCAACAACCCGACAAGAAATCCAAAAAATTCCCTCCTACCAAATAAAAAATGCACCGAAAAATACAAGAAAACTTCCATTGGGAAATGGAAAAGAAGATCCATCTTATGAAAGCCAATTATATGACAATGACTTGAAACTACAAACAAATCATACAAAAAAGGGAAAAATATAATGACGAGACCAACATTCCGAAGAGAGAAACGGATCTGTGCTTGTATTTAGACAAAGATCTAAGCAGAACCTTAAAGAGAAACTTACCCAGAAAAAGAAGATACAATCGATTTGTTAAGATTCTATAAATGGTGAGTAAACTTTTTTTCCTCCTTCAACACTGGAAATGGAACATTTAATTAAGTTCAAAGAGAAGAAACAGTCTTGGTAATGGAAATTGTGGTGGGTTCTAAAAATAGGTGCTGAAATTTATTGTTTAGATGTCGACTTGTACTTGTGTATAGCTAGTGGGATTTTATCACTCGGATTGGATCTGAAAACTCGGATCTTCGAGGACACATATCTTGTTCTTTAAAAACAAATAAGGGAACCAAGAGAGAGAGAAAGAGAGAGAGTGAGAGAGAGAGAGACGGAGTGAGATTTATAGTTGTAAGCTCAAAATCTCTGCAACTTCACTATTGTCGTCACGTGCTTTAATGGCGCGTGTCGAAGGAGACCTGTGAACCGTTGGTCGGCGTTAATTATTTCCGATCCCGTTTATGGTTAAAAGTCATTACATGATGTCGTTTTGGTTAAACGGTGTCGTTTGGTCACCGACACTTCCTGAGACGACGCCGTTCCAATCACGTATGAACATCAAAGGCTCCAAACTAGCCACGTGTCGGATTTCTGTCATTTGAACTCTTAACCATTCGGTGACGCTAATCTGTCGGTTTGCGTCATTCCTGCTTTCGGTGGAAAAGATTAATCTCTTCACTAAAAAAACGAGGCTTCAACTACGAAAAGATTAGAAACCCTAAAAAAAGGTAATGGCGTGCTCGAAACATCTGCGCACCGCCCTCCGGTACACTCGTAACCGAGCCACCGTCGCCGCTATCGCCCCAATTCGTGGCTTTTCCACAGCTGCCGCTGCGGCGGAGATTAATGAAGATGAAGCAGGGATCTTCATGAAAGGGGTGCGTATCCGGGGGCGACCTCTCTACCTGGACATGCAAGCAACTTCCCCGGTTGACCCAAGGGTGATTGACGCTATGCTGCCCTTCTATCTCTCCCGCTACGGCAATCCCCATTCTCGCACCCACCTCTACGGCTGGGAGTCGGATCATGCCGTGGAGGCGGCACGCGAGCAGGTCGCAGCTCTCATCGGCGCATCTCCGAAAGAGATCGTCTTCACCTCTGGAGCCACCGAGTCGAACAACATATCGATAAAAGGTGTTATGCACTTCTACAAGGACAAGAAGAGGCACGTCATCACTACCCAGACGGAGCACAAGTGCGTTCTTGATTCCAGCAGGCATCTCCAGCAGGAAGGATTCGATGTAACCTACTTGCCCGTTGGAAAAGATGGGATTGTCGATCTGGATAAGTTGGAAGCAGCTATTAGACCGGATACCGGGCTGGTCTCTGTCATGGCTGTCAATAACGAAATTGGGGTTATTCAGCCTATGGAAGAAATTGGGAAGATTTGCAAGCAACGCAATGTCCCGTTCCATACTGATGCTGCCCAAGCTTTGGGGAAGATTCCCATTGATGTGGAGAAATGGAATGTGAGCTTGATGTCTCTGAGTGGCCACAAGATTTATGGACCCAAAGGCGTTGGAGCTCTGTACATGAGGCGGCGCCCGCGTATTCGGGTTGAGCCCCAGATGAACGGAGGTGGACAGGAGAGAGGGATCCGTAGCGGGACCGTGCCAACGCCTTTGGTCGTTGGATTTGGCGCGGCGTGTGAGGTGGCCATGAAGGAGATGGAATATGATGACCAGAGGATCAGGGCTTTGCAGGAGAGGTTGCTTAAGGGAATCCGTGAGAAACTCGATGAGGTTGTCGTGAATGGGAGCATGGAGAGGCGCTATGCAGGGAACTTGAACTTGTCGTTCGCGTACGTTGAAGGAGAGAGCTTGTTGATGGGGCTGAAGGAGGTGGCTGTTTCAAGTGGGAGCGCCTGCACCAGCGCTAGCTTGGAGCCCTCTTATGTGCTCAGAGCTTTGGGGGTTGAGGAGGATATGGCCCATACTTCCATTAGGTTTGGCATTGGGAGGTTCACCACGGAGGAGGAGATTGACCGGGCTATTGAGCTTACAGTGTCTCAGGTTCAGAAGTTGAGAAACATGAGCCCTCTTTACGAGATGGTGAAGTCAGGAATTGACATTAAGCAGATTCAATGGGCACAGCATTGACAGAGTTTTAGCATGCAGGATCTCTTGAAAGGTGGTTTTCTGCGCTCATGCTGTTTGTCTAATGATGATAAATCTGTGAGCTATGGCTGCTTTGATCCAGGTTTTACTATCGCTATCTATGTAATGCCTTTGAGAGCACTGATATTTACTTCATGGTTTTAATGTAAACAATGAACATTCTCTTTGGTTCGCGATGTGCATACTATATTTGATCCCATGAATAAAATGAGGATGGTTCGAGTGTAGTTCTAAAAGATTTTTTTTTTTCTTTTGTTGGTTTATACCATAGTTATATCTAGTTGTCTTTGGTAATTGTATCTTCTATCAATAATTGGCTAAGTAATGCTCATTACACCTCAACAATGTAACTAGATGTACATGGCAGATATGATATGTTCGTAGACAGGATTTGGCAATAATTGGGATCCAAGTCTGTTATCTAAATTAGTTATTTCAAAAAACAAAAAGTCCCTGTAAGCATCCTTTTGAAGGTGTTTTATGCTTATCTTGGTGTGATAGCTTACCATTGACAATAGTACTCAGAGAAGCTCCATCTACCACTGTATGCCAGTGGTTCTTACTTCATAAACCTAGTTGTTTCTAACTGGAAAAGTAGTTTTTTGATGACGTTCATTCTCAGAATACTTGCAAGTCAACAGAGATGAAATTTTTGCATATTTATTCTCCAAAGTTTATCAGTGTGTTTAGCCACAAAATTAGTATATAGGTAGCCAGTGAACCTAGGATCATTATGAAATAATGGGATAAATGAGATAAGAGTTATCCTTCCATTTGTTAGGAGTGAGACTGCTTTGTTTCCAGAATTGATTGGAGTATAGAGGGTTTATTGTTTAAGTGGGTTAGTAAGGACTTCACTTGTTGCTAATCCAAAAAGCCTGTATTGATGAGGAACAACTATACCATGCATGTAGCAGGAGGTTTTGCATTTGATGATCAACTTCATTATTTTTCTAGAAGCTTTTTTATTTTCTCTTAAAAAATAAGAAGTGAGGGCTTTAAGGATTTGAATGTGGAAGGAGATTGTGATTATGCGTAAGGATTAAGGTAAATGATATGGTAACAATAGCAAAGTTGTGCATGACAATAGAAAATTAGAATTCAGGATCTTTGTGTTTTTAATATGAGGATAGCAATCTAAGAAGAAAGAGAAGTTCTGCATGATAATAGAAAATGAGATCTAAAATCTTTTTTGTTTTTGATATGAGGATGGTACTCTAAGAAGAGAGGATAAGGGAGGGAGAGAATGTGAACAGATTCTTGGAAATGATAATTCAACACCAACAAATAATATGGTTGCGTTGGTTGCATCCCCCCATATTACTATGAGGGTGGTAGTTCAAAGCTTTACGAGACCCATTGGGGCCATTTAAAAAAAGAAACGAATAATAACAATTCACTTATCAAAACAACACCAGCTGTTGTCTTTCTTTTTCTGTTGAGTTTGATAGGGTTTTAGCGATCCTGGAATCCCACACTTCAGATGTCAAAAGCCATGCCCGGGTGCGTTGGTCAGAGTCTTCTTCCTTAATATGCAAGGACTTAATATTGAAAAGGAGCTTATGCTTGAATGGCCTTTCCAATTTTGGAATCCCAAGTTTTTGTTATAATATCCAATGGTACCCTTAAATTGCAGAATCTTCACAAATCACAAATGTTCCCCTGCTTAAAAATGCTTGTACCTCTCAATTACAAACCCTTAGACCCTAGGTAGATCTGTCCATAGCTACCCTAAAGTGCCAACTAAATTTCAATTATCCTCTTGAACACCTCTAACTGAGGGTTATACGTTGAATTAAAAGAGACTCTTGTACCACTGAGGCAAAGTAACTCCCTCCAAAATGCATTAGTAAAGGTGACATCTTGGTCACTAACAACAGATTGTGAACCCATGTAGTTTTTAGATGGAGTTGAAGAACACTCATGCACTAATTTTGCCATGGTATATGAGTCCGATAAAATGAGAAATAAGAATATTTAGGGAATTTGTACAAGAAGCACTGTTTTACCATGTGATTGCACTAGTCCCTGCGAAAATCTTTGTATATATCCGCCCATATTTGGACAGGAACTTGGAGAGACTGAAGTAGTGCTGTCTTCAAGTATACATTTGCAGCAATAAAAACGTCTTGAAATACCCTTGGTAGGGCTGACAATGTGATAGGGATTAATGTTGAGAAGGGAGGAGAAACACCCTATCTTCATAGAAAATTGACTCATTTTGTTCTCCCTGCAAAGCTCCTGTATCCTTTGAGCTCTTCCCCTTTACCTGCACTGATGATTAACTTACGTTTTTGGTAACACTGATGTAGTTGCACTTGCTGGGAGGGAACTCGTGTGAAGTAAGAGGCCCTGCTCATGATACACCTGGTCTTCTGATAGTTGAACATTGTATCCTTTGGTATATTATTGGCAATAACATTGTGAAATTTCTTAAAGCCATTGCTATAAGCTCTGCATTACTAATTAAAGCAGTCTGCTTCATTTATATAGTACTGCACCTTCTCCACCTTGGTTCACTCAATTTCACTGGTTTAAATGTGCTTGCACAATCAATTATGTCATTAAGATGCTTACAAATTTTCATTTTTTTCTACATGAACCAGGTTCCCGAGATAAACAGGGATAAAACTCGCGGTGAAGATCAGTTATTTGCAAATGGATCCCCTTGCGATGCCTTCCTATATCAATTGAACTAATGGATAAGATAGCTGAGTACTTTGACAAGATGTAACTCTTGTTGCACAAATATATCATATATGAATCAGTTACTTTAGAGTTGACATGTTGAATCCTGATAGCTTCATCATATTATGGATTCCTTGAGGTACAGACCCAGATTTTCTTTTCCATGAGACAGGAGGCTGCTCTGTGTATTTCACATTCTAGGAACACAACCCGAAAATTGAGATTAAGTTGATATAAATTTTGCAGGGCCGCGGTATCCTCATCGGCCAATCTTATTAGGATAGCTACAGAGAGTTGGACTCTTATAGAGATGTATTTACATGACTAATCATGTTGGAAACAATTTTAGGCTTTGAACAAACAACTTAGCCTTTTTGATTACTTTAAGTATGAACTGCAGGTTTTTGATGACCTGTTGACTTTTAGGGTAGGCTAGGTCAAAGCTCGTTAGAGTGAGCTAATTGAATGGCCCAATTCGATCAATGAGTCTAACCATTTACGAATCAGACGGGGGCTGGACTTTGTCATCTTCTTGCTCAGCTTGCACTTTATACCAGTATTCTAAATAATTAAATAAAAATATGAACTATTAAATTATCATTTCTAAATTCTCCAAAAATTATTCACGGTGAGTCATTTACTTTGTTTTATTACTCAAATTAATTTAAATAAATTAAAACTAAGTTCATACGTATATATAATACTGTGAGTGTAACTAGTTTGGTATTTCGCCATTAATTTCTTATTTGATTAATTTAATAATAAATAAATGCAATATAAGCTTCGTGAATTTAAGTACGAGCGATTCCTCTGGGGCATATTAATGAATCTCATGAAAGATTAACAGCCTGCAAAGATCCTAACTTGAAAAGAAGTTTCTGGTGTAACTTGTAAGAGAAGGACGGTCAGGTCGTCAAATCCAAATGTGCATTCATACATATATATACATACATTCATACACAGAAACACACACCCATATATTATATATATATATATAAGTTAAAAAAAGAAATAAGGTTCAGGTATGAAATGTCTTCTCCAAGATCACTTATAATATACAAAAGGTACACTGTTTTGCCTCATTGACAAGACCAAGGCTCCTGATTTTGCAGGAAACAAGACCATTGAAAAATGTCACTGTACCTTTTAACTGCTCATGAATTGTACAACACCTTCGAGCTGTTGCCCATCATACACTCCTTTAAATTTGTACGACTTTGATTTTCAAATCTTGCCAAAACCCAGATGACTCGCGAAAGTGCCCTCCCACAGGGCCATTTTGCCACCTTCAATCGGTATCGTACGGAAATTTCTTTATATATATCAGTTTAATACCAGACGACAGAATTATTTAATACACTTTTTTCTTTCATTCTACAAAAGGGGTGTTGGAGTAAGTAGCTATATATTGTGAAGTATACATATATACACACACAAATACGTAAAAGAGTAACTGTGTTGTAAAATAGAGGAAATTGAAAACGCATTAATGGTATTATTAATGGTATATTTTGTCTGTACAAATATTACCCCAGAGAAAATTAAAAGTACTAAAAATCACATGAAAAGAAAAGTTGAGAAGGTGAAGCATTGGGAATCCGTTTTCTGCAATTTAATGGTGGGGGTATCTTGTCCAGCTTTCTTCTCTATTCTGCCAGTGACTTGACCTTTGCACAAAAACATTCTCTTTTCTCTTTTTTTTTTTCTCCAAAAAAACAAAAGCTTGGTAGACTTCTACAATGGAGATTGATCGAGTCTGTCCAAACTCAATCCCACGTGATTCACCACTTCATGTTTCATCTTCCCAATATGTTAGCAGGAGTTATGTGTTGTAAGAATATTAAGCAAGTGGTTATGCATCAAATAGAAATTTTTAGAAAATATAAGAGATTTTGTGAATGTGGGTTTTTGCTTAAACACAGTTTTACTTTGAGGAAACCAGATTACCTTTTTATACTGACTCTATATTAACCCTAAATTCAAAATATATATATATATATATATACAAATACAAAACTTCCCAAACAATTATATGGGTAAAGGAAAAAGCCAAGTGTACAATCAAGTAATTATCATGAACACATGTTTGTACTAAGGACATCATTTTTAAACTTCTCAATTAAGACAGACAAACATCATTTGTAAAGTTATCGTGAAGACTCAAAACATAGATAAAATTTACTTAGTACCTTAATTCAAGATTGAATTGAATTTACAACGAGTAATATTATACGTACAGAAAGTAATTTATACAAAAATCATTTACAAACAGCAGGATATATGAGTAATTAACATTATCTTGTACAAAATTTTCGTTCATTTAACATTTCTCATTGGAAAATTGTCAATGCCAAAAGAAGAAAAAATTCGTAGCTCTAGAACTTATATAGTATAGGGAAAAGAAAAGTAAGTCCTTTTAGAGCAGAACCAAGAAGATATATTTCCTTCCAATCCAAGAATTATTGAGGAGATCACAATCAGATTCAGCTTTTAGCAAATGGTGCATGTGTCTCTGATTATGAACTGTGCAGTGACAGAGATTAGTCAGCGACCTATTTTCTATTCCCTTAATATACACAGCACTAATCTCGTTTACACATAGATCTCTATATATATATATATGTATATATCTGCACAACCATGGCTCTTCCTTCACAGTTCTTTCTTCAAATAAATTGACGTTTATTGGAGAAACCAAAACGGTGGAGTGTAGTACGCCCACTTATCTCTCTCTACTCTCAAACTGAATTTTTAATCCTCTCCTCTGGATTTGTCCCTAGGCTAGAGCGTGTTATGTGCATGATGTACTTTCTCTAGCTTTAGAGCCTGTAAAATGCCTCTTGATATCTTTACGCTTTCTAAGCCATTAATTTTGGCAGACAACATATGCTTATATCCCCTGGTATAAAAGTAGATTCCAAGCTAATTCCCATCTCTCTATAACTAGAGATATATATATGTGTGTGTATATATATATATATGAAGAAAAAAAGAGATGATCAGCATTCCATTTGCACATAACCCATTTGATATCTTGCCATCTTTCTATGCAGCAATCAAGAGATTACATGATCTTGTAAAAGAAAAAACACCATGAACAGGTGAAAGAGAGAATAATAGACTCGTTACAAGGGTATATATATATATATAGTCATAGAGACGAACTTGTCGTCCTTCCCCGACCATAAACAGGTCAAAAAGGAGAAATTAAAAAGAATATTCACTTACATAGATATATATATATATATGTATGTATGATCATACATATATATATATAGAAGTGTTGGCTAGCTGGATCCAAAAAAGGGCGAATCACTAATTTGATCAAGGGTTAAAGATGAAGTTTCCACATTTACATTTCCAACTGATTGGCTTGTAGTTGGAGTTGTCATTACCTCTTGCATAGGCAACATTAGACACTGTTGAAGGATTTGATCTCTTCCCTTTTTGAACTTGAGGGTTTGTAGGAACCTGAATGACTTCACAGTGCCCGCATGAGCTGCACCTTCTTTCGCATCTCGGAGGCCTTGACCCTATTTGAGCCCTCAATGCCGCTTTCTCTTCGTCGACTGTCTATCCAAACAAACAAATTCCGGAGAAAAACTCTCACTACTTCACTGAAAATGTGAAAATCAGATGGGAAAAGACCGAAAATGTTATATGTTTTACCTTAGAAAAAGTAATAGACTTTGGCTCTGATCTACCTGCAACATCAACACATGACAAAAAACACAAGTGTTAAAATTCAGTTTATCAGAATTCTGCTCGTTGAATCCTCACACACAATGATTCAGAATTGAAACTGCGTGACCCATTTACCTTCAGCCTTGCATCTCATCTGGGTCGAGCTCAGAAGCAAGAGTACACAGAGAAATAAACTGGGAAAATAATAAAACATGAGACTATGACTACTACACTTGCTGTGAGAATTCATTTCAATTTTCATTATAACAAAACGAGAGCAAACTCTCAGCAAAAAGGATGGAGGTGATGGGTTTAGACCTATTTTAAAACCAGTGATATGAAAACTGAATGCTGAGTTTAATTAATAACAGAACGAGCCATAATTGATTGACATGACACCATGATATAATAAGTATTATATTTCTTTCTCTCTTTCTACGATTGCTATGGTGTTGAGATGAGATGAGATGATAGAACGTGGAAGGACAAAGGAGAAATGTGCAGAAATCAGAAAGAAAGATGGAAAGTGACTTAGAAAAGGCAAGAATTTAACCTCGTTTTGCGGGCCAAAAATTTTTCTCTACTACAACAAGACATAAACCTAAACTCATCTAAACAGAAAAGAAAAAGAAAAGAGAGAAAAAAATCTCAGATGAAAGAGAAAAGATTGCAGAAGAAATTGTAAAGAGCCAGGAACGGAGATACAAGCTATATGAAAGAAACAGAAGGAGAAAGGACAGCAAAAGACCCAAAAAGGGTAAGAGAGAAACGCCAGGAAGGAGAAGATCATTAAAGGCCAAATTCTGAGAAATAGACATGGAAATTACAGCTGTTGAAAATGGGGCTTTCGCTTTCCTTCCGTATATTCTTTTGATTTATTTATTTTATTTTGGTTTGCTGTGTCGTTTTCTTGTTGTGAGTAGGCCTGAGCTGATCCACCTGATCACGGCATATATACTTCTCTTGCCCCAATGAAAGTGAGAAAAGCTATATATATATATATGTATGTACAGGGTTACATATATCCTCCTCGTATCTCTCTTCAATCATGATAGTATAATAAGCACCGCAGCAAATAGTTACTGTTAAAAATATGATTTCTAAAATAATAATAGTAATTAAAATTTCAAAACATAAATAATAAATAATAAATTAATTATAAAAATAAAATAAAAAATAAGAAATTAACCCACTTAAAAATAATTATTGGGCCAACTTTGTTCGTTTGTGGGTTGGACTATTGGCCTCTTGGCGTCAAAACGAAGTCCAATCCACTTGGCACTGGATATGCTTACGTGGCAGAGTTTCACTGGCTCATCCAACAAACGGTCCAGTTCTAACCGTAGAGAGAAAAACCGGGGGCTGAAGAAGAGTAGACAAAAAGAAAACCGCAGGAAATGACCGTTACGGCGTTATGTTTTCTTAAATTGATATAAAAAAGAAACAAATCAGCGGCAGCTAATTTAGTCATTTTGCTTACACCAAAACCAGAAAAGCTCAAAGAAAAACGAAGGCAGCAGCCACCTTTTTCTTTCTTCTTTGTATCTCTCTCTCTCTCTCTCTCTCTCTCTCTCTCTCTTTCACACTTTTGTCTTGCGATATACGATTGTGTTGAAAGGGAAGTAACTTAGATCAGAACGACAATGGCGTCATCATCATCGGCTCAGCTCAGGCTCATGTCTGACCTCAAATCCATCATTAACGAGCCACCTGAAGTGAGATTACTTCCGCAGTTTATCCTTTACTTTTCCGCTATTTTAGTATGCATAATTGTCTAATTACGTGAATTGATTCTTGTTTAATCGTTTAGTCCGATCTTAAATTGTGGAATTTAGGGCTGTAGTGCGAGTCCTTTGTCCGATGAGAACCTGTTTGTTTGGAGCGCCACCATATTCGGGCCCGATGAGACTCCTTGGGAAGGTACCTGTACTAGATCCGAGCGGATATGTTAAAATTTGGATAATCCTTTTTCTTTTTGAAATTTAGTTGTGGTTGAGTAGGAAGGTTGTGTGTATGTTCTTTAACCGGAAAGGTTGTCTGTTGAAAATGTAGGTGGTGTTTTCAGTTTAAGAATGACATTTGGTCAAAATTATCCGGAGAAGCCGCCTCGAGTTCGGTTCACGTCTGAAATGTTCCATCCAAATAGTAAGTAAATTATTATGCTTATTGACTGTTGGTGTCTTATTTTTTGCCTTGATTTTGTTACATTATGGTTTTGATTTGGGTTGTGAACTCATTTTAGCGAGCGACAGTAATTTTGTTTCCAGAAGGGAAAGTGGGAGAAAGTAAGCTCGTAAAATTCTCAGGATTAGGAAGAAATGGTGTATGTCCTTTTTGTAAGGTTTATGATATAATATGAATATTCTTAGTCTATGACTGAAGACAAAAATTAAAAGAAAAAATGTTTGAATCTTGGACATCCGAAAGTGGATTTTTGTAGAAAATTATAAGCTACTGATATAAGGATCTAATGGTGGAAAGGTCTGCAGTGATATACTAGGTTCTGCCTGTATCATTGTAGAGAAATTACTCAAATGAAGTCAGCAGGAATACATTGAAGTGAACTCTAAAATATACTTCCTGGTGAACATAAACATAATCATTATATCCCAGTATGCACCTTGTTGGATGTTCCTGCCGACTGCAGGGTGTGAAATCTAATATAAGATTGGAAATCAATAAAGGTTTGCGGTGTTTACTTCATATTTTTTATGTTCGTTTCTTTCCTCAAGGATCTAAAAATTTTGAGCTATGAGTGGAAGCAGATAAAAGAAAATTCTCTTGTTGAACATTTCAATCATGGATCCCAATTGTCCGTTAATATTATTTCAATACTTTTATTTTAGCGATGGTGACAATAAGGTCTCCGGTTGCCAGGAACAGGCTAGCACTGATTGTATAGCTTTGTATGTGTTAAAAGTAGATTATCCATCTTCCACTTAAACATAACTCCTTGCTTTCTGATATGGACACCTTTTTTTGCAATCTTGTATCCTTATGCTGTTGACTGATTTTTGCACTGGTGTACTTTGAGGTTTCTATAGCTATTTGTGGTCAATTTTACTTAAGCATAATATTTAGTTGCTTGATTTCCCTATGAGACCAAATGTGAAATTATTGCCATTATTTTATGGATGCAAAAGAAACTTGAGTAAATGGAGGATGTAAGTCAGGTGAAGCCTGGATCCAAAACTTGCAACCTGGAGTCCAGTTTAGTAGAAATGAGCTGTAAAACTGAGAGTTGCGGAATTCTTTAGAAACAGAAACGTCCCTGAAATGTTTACTCTTGGCACTTACAAACTATCCCTTCATGTTTCATTCAATCTGAAGATGAATTCTTTTTGGAAGAAATACTGTGAATAGATTGTCAACCACAATACCTCTGTTCAGAATTTTGGTGGTTCTTTCTAGGTTGAAGCATGCATCCAAAAACTTGCAACTTGAAGTCCAATTTAGCAGAGATGAGGGGTACAAGAACCAAGGAGAGTTTTGGATTATTATCATAGGAAAACAAAAACGAAATATTTATTCTTAGCACCTACTAGCTATCCCCTTCATTTTTCATTCAATTTGACATGATTTCATTTTTGAAATAAACACTTTGGATGGATTGTAAACCAAAGCGCTTTTGTTCGTGATTTTTAGTGGTTGTTTCTATATATGTTGCTTAGATAAAGACTTGTAATTGTCGAAGTTTGTACGCAATGATGTATGAAACATGAAGAAATTCTCTGTTTTGTCGTTGAAGTTTGTACACAACAATGGATGAAATATAAAGAAATGCTCTGTTTCCACTTTTGCGGCAGTTTTTATTGTTATCCTCTTTTGTTCTTCATTTTAATTGACCGGTAAACGAGATTTCCTCTTGTATATTATTATTATTATGTTGTCATTTCTTGAATTTGGTTCGTGCAGTTTACCGTGATGGTACATTGTGCATGGATATCATTCAGGACGCATGGTCACCCTGCCATAATGTGTCTACAATTTTAACCTCCGTACAGGTAATATTTCTATCATACTTCCTCACCTATAATAAGCAGTGGCAATGAGACTATTTCTACTTCTTACTGAATTAATCACTACAGTCACTTCTCACTGATCCAAATCCCACTAGTCCAGCAAATCCTGAGGCAGCTCAACTCTACCAGCAAGATATCCAGGCTTATAACAAGTTAGTTGCTTCCATTTCTCTCTTTCTTTTCTTTTCTCATCATTTTTTTTTTCTGGATTTACTGGGTCTTTGATTCTGCAAATGTCCACAAATAATCTTAAATGAGGTTACTTGCAGGAGAGTACGTCGCTGTGCCCGTCAATCCATTGATTCGTAATATCAGGAGCTCAGTTTCTTTCCTCTCTACTTTCTGGAAACAGCTATGGTGCGTCATTGGCCGTGTATCATTTTGCTTCCCAGTTTACAACATATCCAGCTGTAAATACTCTGTGAGAGCATGACTTGTATCCATGCTTGTAACTTCAAGAACCTCAATACCATTCAGAATAAAAAATGAGTGTACATACTTTTGAGTTTGCTACTCTATTTATCATCTTCCCTTTATGAAATGAAAATGGCCGGCCATTTCAATCATCCATCATCATTGTGCATATTTGAGTCGCTTTCGCTTAATCTCTACAGCAATGAATTTTTCAGCCCTGCTTGGTGAATTTCTGCTAAAACTCGAAATTATCTCCTTTGTTTGCAGTTATTGACTTATGGAGAGTTATATATATCTATTCCTTTCATTACCTTTGAATTGGTTCGCCTTTGTGCTATCATTTCTAGAACAGAATTGTACTGTCAGTTGACTTCCTCTCCTAGAAAAATTATCTCAGGATTCCGATTTAATGTGCTTCAACTTGTTGTGGATTATTGCTTTTTGAGTATTTTTTAGATATTAATAAATAGAGTAGACAAGTCATTAAGTGGCACTATCTTGATATATCTTGCAGGATGAATACTTCTTTGGTTGATGCTTCTGCTAATTGTGATTCAAGAGTTCACTTCATGTAAATATATAGTCATACAATACCGAATCTCTATTTACATTACCATAGAAATATGATTTGTAGGGAGTAAAATTCTTATTAAGTGAAATGTGAAGTCCAATTGACTTGTACTCGTTATGCAAGTGATTTCTCTTGTCCCACAGTATTATATTCCCCTAAGCATTAATTGTTTGTATCAATGTCTTTTCACTTGCTGTCCGCGGGTAAACCAGACAGCCTCTTCTCCAGTGTTTGATCTAACCATTGATGCAGCTTGGCAGGTCGTTTTTGTTGCTTTTAATGCAGTCTTTCTATTGTCCATCCGAGAGTGAAAAGAGTTCAAATCAGACTTATTAAGTGGATAAGTTCCGGTTAGATCACAGCTCTATCATCTGAAAGTAACAGTGAGTTAGGGTTGTGCAAGCGCTAAGCTACAAATCAAAGGTGAAAATCTCTTCTTTCTTATAGTTTATATCATCACTAGGTTAAAACTGGCTGCAGTTGAGAATATGTTTATAGACTATGTTTAGAATAATTCCGAAATTTACATGGAATTTGTTTATAAACATATATTTATCTGACGACAAGAAATAATAATCAGCCTTGGCGGCTGAACGGAAAATAATTCTTGGACAATGAAGTCATAAGGGACGCACGTGCGCGGCTGATTGCAGGTGCAACAGCTTCTTTTCATTTAATTAATGCTCTTTAATAGTACGATTTGATATTCTACCTGACACTGCGACGAGGACACAGTTGAAATTTGATCAATTTCAAAGGTCAAAAGAAAATTGTATTTATAAATTACATATATAAATTTTTTGGAAAATAATTTTTTTTTTAGGCTTTTAACTTGATAGATTTATAAATTTGAGCTTTTAAAATGTTCTTGTGAAACTAATTATTTTAAGATAAACGAGATGAACTTATAAAAACATAGATGTAAGGTGGGTATCCCCGTGCACCTTATGGTAATATCTATATATACAACAATATGTATATAACATTAGTGTTGAGCTACGGTCTCATGCACTTATAAATGCATAATTAACAAAATTAATGAGGCTTTATGTCCTTCTTATCCTCACGAGGCATGCATAATTCATATTGCATGTGTTGTTGCTATGGTCTTGTCTCTCTACCTTTAGTTGGAATACCAAGAAGTGAACAAAAGAACTTACATATTCATGTATGTATATATACGTATATACATCATGTCGGTTAAATAAGTAGACATGACTCTCTTGACCAGCATGTGTACTTATCTTCTTTGTTCATGGTGTAGGTGCTATAAAGCCTCGACCACCCTTATAAAGACCTCCGGTATGAATTAATTAATTTTTAGTGCATGTGGGTCTCCATGTTTTTAATCAGTTTATAGACGGATAAGAAGAGAAGAATTGACAAATTGCTACTTAATTTTCTTTCAATTTTTAAACCACTATTTTCACCAACTTTCATTGCTACTACACCACATACATACACGTATCTATATAATGAACATACTATATATATATACATATATGGGTTTCTTATGTTAGTTTTCCCTCTTACGAAAAGATGTTCCGACAAAAGAAATTATGTGAAAAAGGGTATGGTAACTTGCGAGATACAACAATGATAATCTTCTAATATACGTATATATATATATATAGAGAGAGAGAGAGAGAGAGTTATCAAGTACTTGACATCCACAAAATTATTATTCTGTCTTCAATTATTTCAACAAATTAATCACCACCACTGGCTAGCATCCGTTTGGGTGATGTTGATATTGCCAATATTCGATTTTATCAAGACACGTAGGAGTAGTCAAATTCTCTCCAATCGTACTATCTATGACTCTATAATGGACCCAATCAAAATATTGGTGGTTAAGTTTTTATCATCGCTTATTTACCTACATAACATATACATATATATATATATAGAGAAAGAGAGAGAGGGAGACGTACATACATCATATATACATATATATATATATATATGAGAAGAGAAAATATATCCGAAATATTATGGGATTATTTTTACTGATCAGATCAAACATCCATTCATAGAAGTACAAACTAGGATTAGATTGCTAAAAATAATAGGGTTCTATTTGGTTATGTAATTTTAATTCGTTTTGAAGATTGGATTTGCTGCTAATCTTATCCTTAACAAGATCCAAATATAAGAATTAGTTTGACTAATTTAGAACAATCTCAATTACTTTGTGGGAATTCAATATATATTTAGATTGTATTTTATTTAAATTTGGCCGACATATGAATGCACAAGTACACTCCAAACAGGAACTTTTACTCGCAAATTAATAATTTGTATATATGCATGTACTATATATGTGTGTATATGCATTACCATCACGATTAATGAAAAAAAAAAGTGGAAGAGATAATGAAAAAGTGTAGTTGTTATGATTAATCAGTAGTGAATTAGAGATAAGCCTAATTAATTATTGTTGGTTAGTCAAGTTCAATCCACCCAATTACCGGCAAATAATTAAAACGGATTAGAAGTGTCTATGCCCTCCTTGAATATGAGTTGACTGTGAAATATCTATTTTTATTAAAATAATAATTTCTATGTGACAATGATATACCAAACAAATTACAAACATATAATATATATATATATATATATATACACAATTCAAATAAATAAATAATGAATGAAATCTATGAATGTGGTCCTCATTTGTCATTTGGAAAGCAATATTTTCTAAATATATATATATTTATATTAATATAATAAAATAATTAAATCATATTCAGGTCATATAATTTATAAATTCGATGAAATTTAAATATAAAAAAAAAATTAAACCCATCCCAAATTCAAAATGGATTCGGGTAAAAAAAAATTGATTTTGATAAATAAATCTTAAATGTTAAAAGTAAATATTTCTAAAATATTATATATGCTAAGTGGATAATAACTTTGACTAAAATATTTATCACTTTAATTTTATAAAATAAAAAATGACTCTACCAAGAATTTAATATTTATAATAAATTATTAAATAATTTTGGTTTGACTCGGATACTCCAACATGTTTATAATGTTTGCCATAGAAATACTAAATTTCAATGGACTTAAATTATCCCACAAAACTATATGATATAAAATTATATTGCTCTTCCAGTTTCGGAAAGAACTGATTAACGAGAGTATGAACTTAATTACATTAGGTCTAATCACGAACCCCGCAAATCAAAATACTACACGTGTCAAAATATAATGACTCACTCCGCCCGATAATAATCATCTGAATTCCCCACCGACAGCAGCGCTCACTCAATTTCGGGGCCCACCGTTTACTGAGAGTCATTCTCTTCTTGCTCACCAACCAATTAAGATGTGCCACGTATAGGAAGGTCCCGCTTTGAGGACGTTCACGGCAGACAATGAAAAACGTGCGAGTTCCATCATGGATCACGAGACGACACATGGCGAATTCTTATTGGTTGAAGGCATTCTCAATTATGCGAAGAAGAAAAGTGATTTCTTCGTCGTTTAGCTTTGAATTCAGACTCTTATAAAGGAGCAGGGACAGTCGGGCTCATGTTTTAAGATTAATCTTCTGGATATAAATATATAAATATATATATATACATACACACACACATATATAGTCTTCTATATATTGATTTGTTTAAAAGAATACTCACGCTATATTAATTTTTTCTCATCTCTTAATTTATTTAATATATATATATATAATAATTAAAATTGATAAATTATTTTCAAAAAATTAAGTGAATAGAAAATTATGAATATATTATATATTATATATTTCTTAATATTTAGTTTAAGTTAATATGTTACAGTAAACTTTAATTAATTAATCACCAAATATCAAAAACAGCACTAGATTTGGTCGATGGAAATTACGCCACGTGTCAACTTGCGGTTGGTGTTGACTTGGCTGTCTAGCATTAAGGAATTATTTGTGTGTGTGTGTGTGTGTGTGTAATTATGATTTTGAATTTCAGAAAAATCAAAGGTTGAAAAAGAGGTTTAACAGAGACTGTGAAATAACGTCCACAATTAAGTGGGTCCTCGTCTCCGGGGAACCGTCAGCCGGCCGTTCAATGTCAGCCACCGTCTCTCCGTTGTCTTCATATAATATTAGCTATACTTCCATATATATATATATATATATATACATACACACACAAATATCTATAATTTTTCTTGTTTATTTTTTAACTATTTAAATATTAACTATAAAATTCATGAAAACTTAATTAATATAAGAGGTAATTATGAGATAAGGTGTATAATAATTTGCAAAAAAAAAATGCATATATAATAATTGTTCATGTTTAGTGATGATAGTATGAAAAGGTAATAGTAATAATTGTGTAGGGATGATAGTAACTTTTCATTTTTAATTAGATTCATTAAATATATATATATATATACGTGTATGTATATATATGTATTATATATATATATATATATTAACAATGTGTATATATAGCTATTGTATGGAGGCTGACATTATGGTAATTTGACTACCATAGAGAGAGTTAGGTGAGCATATAATCAAGTAGGCATGTATCAAACAAGCCTTACTCCAATAATTGAAAACAATGTCACAAATCTGTTGAAATATCATCCAAGTAATTAATTATTGAATGAATTCGGCATGAAATTACTTTTTAAATTTTAGATAATCGTAATTATTAAATTGCAATTTAGATTAAGAGTTAAAAAATGTAATTTTTGAACTAAAAATTACAAATCAAACTAAACTGGTGAGGACCCAAACATAATTCAGTAATTAAAATATAATTAAACCAAAATTAGTTTTATATTATATATGTATGTATCAAATTGATGTTTTAAAACTAAAAAAAAAAAAGATTATTAACTTAGAACATGCATTTAAGTGTTTCAAAAAGTAGGAATTGAGAAGGAAAAAAATTAAATAAATCATACAAAATTTTATTACGTTTAATTAAATTCGAGTTAATTATAAAAATTGGATCAAATGGGTAGACTTTAGTTATGATTCATAATATATAAGGAGCATTTTAGATAATACCCTTTTTTAAAAAAATTATGTTAATAATATAGAAAAATAAATTGTTCAAATATTTTATTTCTATAACTAAATAAAAATAAATCATCTAAAATTTTTATCAGATTTAATTTTTTATAAAGTGATCGAGTCAATTATCAAAAGTAGATCAAACCAGTAAAGCATATTTTAAACTTTTGGATGTAGTTTATAATGTATACAAAATTAATTTTGTTACCATTAATTTTAATATAGTGAATAAATATTTTTAATTAAACTAAATATAAATTTATAAATAAAATCTCATAATATTTTAGAATTTATTACAATATAACCTCAACTATATTTTGTACCATACATTATCAATTCATTAACACTACACTAACAATTAATTAGTGATGAAAAAATTACAAGATACAAAAAAAAATTACAAGATTTCGTGTAAGAATTTCTATGTAAAATATAAAGTTTTTTTTTTTTTTTCAATATTTTGTTTCTATGTGGTCAAGATGTTGCATTACTACTTTCACGTAACATTGCCAATCATAGGTATAGTAATTAGTGATTATGATCTTATACATCAACGAAAAATACTTATTATATGATTACTAATTAAATTTTAAAATATTTAAAAATAAATTTAATGCATTTAATAGATAATTTTTTCTTTTTTTAATATAGACCGTACAGAAAAATTTATCAAAAAAAAATTTTAAAAATCGACAATAATATAATTGAGAATTATGAGTATTACTGACGTTATTGTTTTAATTTTTATTTAAATTTGTAATTTTTTAAATTAATCCGAAAAAATATTTATTATTTAAATAGAATAATTCAATAAATAAAAGCTTTAAAAATTGCTAAAACTAGTTGATAATTCATATCATTCTCTATGGAACAAAATCTAAAATCCAAATGAAATAATTTGGCTTACACAAACTTAAACTCTGCTTAATTCAGACCATAAATTGGGAGTAGGGACCATCCTCTTAAACCATGGCGACCAATCTATATTTATAGTGGCGATTGGCTGGAAACAGTATATATGTATGTGAAAATGCATGCATACTATTCACTTCCCTTTCAACCTCTAAAGCTGACTTTTTAAATTTCCGAGCAGAGGAGATGGGAGTTGAGCACTCAGTAAAATGGTTTCAGTAGTGAGAATACTCGGGTTGAAACCATTTTATCTCTGTAAAAGAAATTGTTACAGAAAATAGCAGAGAAGAACTGATCTTCAGAGGAGATGAGAGTGGTTGGGTAGGGTGGTAGGGCCCGAGAGAAATAGTTAGGGTTGGCTAGCTTGCTATTAGCTGGATGGAAAGCTAAGCTCTAATGGCGCTTTCTATTTGAATGCAGCAGTCTCCATCAAATTCTCTCCCTATTTTGAATCTCCCTCTCCTTATCTTCGTGTGTGTATATATACACTACTCCGCACAACATCTTCAAACCACACCCATTTTCACCACTTCTTTCTCTCTGTTTTCTTGCTCTGTATTTCTGACACAAACGCACTGCAGAAACATATACGTACGGCAGCCATGTATGTAAATGCTGGTGGATGGCTCTGTTTTTGCATGGTAATTGCATTGGCAGTCTCTGTTTCCGGCAAACCATCAACTTTTTTTGAAGATTTTAAGGTGACATGGGCTGATTCCCACATAACCCAGCTAGAAGGAGGCAGGGCCATTCAGCTTTTGCTTGACCAAAATTCAGGTCTGGTGGGGTCAATTTTGTTTAATTACTTAAATATTTTAAGAATATTGAATCATTTAAATATGGTGTATAACTATACATACTCATGATGATTAAAATCAGGATGTGGGTTTGCTTCCAAAAGCAAGTACTTGTTTGGGCGTGTGAGCATGAAGATCAAGCTTGTTCCCGGAGACTCTGCAGGAACTGTCACTGCTTTTTATGTATGTTTTTTCAATAACTCTATCTCTTTGATTTTCTTCGTCAAGATCGGAATTTGGGTTCTGGGTTTTGTTCAGTTTCGGCTTTAATGGCGGTGCGTATGTGGGTGTGTGTAGTTGAACTCGGACACTGACTCACTGAGGGACGAGCTGGACTTTGAATTCTTGGGGAACAGGACAGGACAGCCATACACAGTCCAGACGAATATATATGCTCATGGAAAAGGTGACAGAGAACAGAGAGTGAACCTATGGTTTGATCCCGCTGCAGATTTTCATACTTATACTATTCTCTGGAACCATCGCCACATTGTGTAAATCCCAGACCTTAAACCTAAAATATTGAATTCCTGATCATGACTTCATGATTCAACAAGACAAAGTTTCTTTTTTTTTTTTTTAATTTGTAGGTTCTACGTGGACGAAGTTCCGATCAGAGTGTACAAGAACAACGAAGCCAGAAACATCCCGTATCCAAAATTCCAACCCATGGGGATTTTCTCCACATTATGGGAAGCGGATGATTGGGCGACGAGGGGGGGATTAGAGAAAATAGATTGGAGCAAAGCGCCCTTCAAAGCATATTACAGAGACTTTGACATTGAAGGGTGCGCAGTTCCAGGGCCATCCAACTGCGCCACTGATCCTAAAAACTGGTGGGAAGGGAATGCTTATCAAGCCTTGAATGCCCTTGAAGCAAGAAGATACAGGTGGGTCCGTCTCAACCACATGATCTATGATTACTGCACTGATAAATCAAGGTACCCAGTTACACCACCTGAGTGTGTCTTCGGCATATAGACGATCAAAACCCACAACACATAAAACCCTAAATTGTGTAGTAAAAAATATGGCATAAAAAATTTTATTCAATGAGGGGAAAATAAGTATGCTGGTTGCATATGTGAATTGGGTATTTCCGAGTTTGATTATTTGGGTGGAGGAGATACGAACCCAACAAATTCCTACTTGTAACATTATTATGTGTGTGTGTATGTGTGTATATGGTAATAAAGTTCCTTTTTTTTTGCTATTGTATAATCTCTGAAAATCTATATGCATGCCTGTCAAATTGTACACTGTATTTTTAATTTTATTAATGGGTAAATAAATTATTCCCTAAGTTTTAACATTATACCACTCTTGAGTTTGACATGATTACATCAACTCTTTTTTCTCATTAAACCTTAATTTGTGAATCTTACTACTTCTGGGTGTTGAAACAAGACAGAAGTTACACTCAAATACTTATCAGAATTACTGTTTGGTTTGAACGTTCAAGTTTTTTTAGAACTTTAAACAAATAATTTATGTTTTCATAAAAGGCCAGAAGTGGGTGCCCTTCATTTCTAAACATTTACAAATTGGACTATATATACATACATATATATTTAGCATATTGGCCCCAGGTGGGGGATGGGATTGGGACTAGGCGTGGGCGTGATCTGTCGGCATGTCCCCGTGCGAGCTTAAGCCTAGATTTTGCTTCGTAATAAGTACCTGAATTATGTGGGTTCTAGTTTGCGCAAATGGGCTTCTTAAATAAAAAAGCACCTTAACTGATAAGTACTTATAGTCTGAGATGGTCAGTTCCCATTTTTTTATTGGTTTAATTCTGCTCTCATTTTTTGGAGTCTTTGTTTTAGTTTAACCTCTATAAGTAGCAAATAGTTTACTGACTCTCCCTGTCTTACCTTGAATTTTTCTTTTATCACAGAAATTCAATTTCTATCTTTGATTCTTGAATCAAACTAGCTTGATTTGATTAATTTTGTTCACGATCTCACTAAACAATGATTGAACTCATATTATTCAATTAATCATAATTAGTGAAAATAATATCTTGATTTAATTAGTTTTCACCATCTCAAAATAAACATAAGAGTAGTATCAATTATCTTCAAGCCCGATACTCAACCTGCTTAATCTACACCATAAATTTGGTGCAGGGACCATCCTCTTAAACCATGGCGACCAACCTATATTTTCTAGTGCGAACTGGCTGGAAACAGTACTTGATGAGTGAATCCTTCATGGTCCCCCATCAATATTGAAACGTGCAAATAAGTCGAAAGATCGAAGGACTAAAGTTAGGATGTAAATGAATTTTATGTGGCCACGTAAAATGGTTCGATCACAGTTCACAGTTAGTAGAGTACATTGTATCTAGTGCAATTCAATGCAATATTAATGCTATTCACTGACCTTACCAAAGAAGGTTCTTTTTCTTTCCTTAATGAAAATGTAGTGTCACGGTAAACTTAAGTTATACAATACTCATTACATAATAATTTTTTAGAACTGTTAATTCTTTAGTACACAACTGCAAAAACATTAGTGTTCACAGTTAATATCATGAATTCTAGATCACTGTAACATTATTTCTACAACAACCATCAATGGGAGAAAGAAAGATTCGGTCCTCGTCCAATCGAAAATTCAAGACCTTAAACAGAGTATTAATACTTCTACTTAAGGAATTCACTTGTCACTTGCCTTCTGATGGGGATAGAAATCAGCATGCTAGATTTACTTGTTTGCACTGTTAACTTTAACAGCAACTGGTTCTGAACAGTACGGACAATTCCCAAACAGAACATTGAATGACCTGCAGCATAAGCATGCAAACAAACTATAAACGAACGTAGCAAATTGCATAAAACAAAAGAAAATAGCAGAGGATGCATGACCATCGCATGCATCAGAGATGTTTATTCAAGATAAACTATTTTGTGTCATGGTGTAAGTTGACTTGGTATTCTTCTTAACTAACTTTCATTTATACAATCCTTGTTTTGATCAACGAGGATAATTTGTACGCCCATAAAAGTCTCCATTTGGTAGAAAATTTCGGGGGAAGGAGGACGTTTAATAAGCAAAAATATGTTAGCAAAACTGAGGATGCAAGTTAAAAGATACTTTGGAACCATATACGTTAGCTACTCCAAGTACACTCAAGCGGGTACTCGGCAATTTTCTATTTATTAGTAGTCTTTATTTCATCAAATTTGGTGCAACATTCTTGTGATTGCTCCAATCAGTTCTTGATATTATTTAAATATACCCAAAAAAAAATTTTGTCCGCACTTTCCTTTCAACCTATACGGCTGACCCTTTAAATATCTCAGAAGAGGAGGTAGGGTTCAGTACTTAATAAATTGATTACAGTACTGAAATACTCGGGTGCAACTTGGATGGTAGGTGCTACTAGTAATTGTATGCAACAGGTGTGCTAAATGAGATAAAACAAGGGAAAACTCGTGGATGCAAGGGGCCCAAATTCAATGGCAAAGGCTGATTGTTTGTGTGGACATATAGCCCTCAGGAGCATTAGAAATTATTATGTAGTCCCACGCATGATGACGTGGTTCAACCTCGAAATTTCATTGGGCCACCTCAATTTAATGTGGTGGAAAAACTGAAATGGTCCAACCAAAATTGATGGATGGACAACCTCAGCCATGCTTACTGCAGCATCCAATAGTTTCTCCCATGGCTGAGAGCAAGAAGAAAAAGCAATATACACATTGTCTTTGACAAAATATGAGAAACGAAAAATAAAGTTTAACTATTCTGTGTAAGCAAAGAGAAGCTGAGAGACACTAATAAACATACTGCCTTGTTGTCGTTATTGAACGCAGCCATTCTGCAAGACAGAGACTATGGAAGGCCCTGCTGCAACTGGTATTTTCACATGTATAGTCAGTTTCACTGCTCTTATTTCCAAGCCCGTCATCTATGTCGGCATTACAGAACACAGGTCAATAAGAGCGAAACCTTTAAGATATTGAAATATGAAAAATTATCATGTGTACGTTAATTTAGTATTCTATTTTCATTAACAATGTAATGAAAACCAGATGTCATAAATTTTATAGGTTGATTCAAATTTCTTTCAAGCTATTAGGAAATGTCATAACATATCAGTTTATATTCGTACCAACTAATAACATATCATTTTATATTTGATTCAAAATAATTTCCCATTAAACAACTAAGAAACTGTTACCAAGAGGAAGAAACTGAGCATAGCAAATTCCGCATTCAGCTTGATGCTCACTCTCAACAACAGCTGGGGGCTTTGGCAGTTCTATCTCCAACAGACTTCTAAGATTTTCTATAACTGATCTGTCTTTCGACCTATGAAATCGGTGGAAATCCATAAAAACAATAAATAGTATTTGTTATTATACAAAATTTTGATTATGAGACCAAGCTTCTTCAGAAGGTTAACAGGAAATTCTGCATATGTGAAAAATGTTGCTAAAAATGGTGGCAGTTCATGCAATATGTCGCATAATTAAGCTTCAAGTAATAAAAATTATGAAAGAAAACAAAAGCAATTATTAAGAGATCATATTTTTTGAAAAACTTTTTGTTGAAATCTCAACCACTCAATTTGAGGTTAAATAGAAATTTTTTATCAAGAGATCATATTTTTTAAAAAACTTTCTGTTGCAATCTCAACCATGCAATTTGAGGTTACATAGAAATTTTCAAGATACTAATGTTGAGTTTTTGGTTTAAATTGCAATTTTATCGAATAGAAATGATAATACAGTACAAGTACAATGAAGATTTGATGATCCAAATAACATATTAATTCCAAGTTAATTTCAATTCTAATTCAAGTTCATTGTTTTTGTGATTCCTTCTTTAATAAGTGAAAATACAAATCCATCACTGTTGGATTGAATATACGAGTGAAGTTGATTTAATTGTATATAATTATGTAAATTATGTTAAAGTTTTAGAAATCAAATGATTAGATTTAAGAATAGAATGAAAACAAAGTACACTATAATCCAATGCATGCAGATGCACAACAATTTGCCACTGGAGCAAATAGATAATAGATTAGCAACAATAGCCCATTAAAGCAAACAGGACCCGCTTAACAGTTTGCAGGAAGTCAATGGAAACTCATTCTCCTCCTGGCAATAGTAACATATAAGTCTACCTTCACAGAAGGATCAGAAGTCAAAATGCTCAAAGAATCTAGAGAAGAGATCATTGAAAAGTGTACCATCTTTTGGCATTTTGTTTCCATATCTTTCTCAAGGAGTTTACGAATTCATCTGGACCCAAAAAGCGACACCTACACAACTTAAGTCATCGGTAAATGGAATCCAAAAGTGTCAATTAGTAGCCCAGGGAAAATTTTTCTGAAAAGTCTTACTCTGGTAAAGCTTTAGGATCATCAACATCTATAGAAAGCATAATGAAGCTATCACTTCCTGTAAAGCTTTTAGAAAAGTTACTAAATAAAAAAGGCGGGGAGAAAAACATTTTTATCAACTTCGAAAACTAAAGGATCACCTATATGAATTTGACGGCAGGGTAAAGCCCGAGAAGGCTGTTTGTTACCAGCAACCCATAGAGATTTGTCAATTTCATCCAATGTAGACCAAAACTCTTGAAGCATCTCCAGATGCTGCATACAAAGTTACAACACATGAAAACGTAACTCTGCCATCTTGAATAATGGAGTCAAACCAATTTCTAAAAAATTTAAACTAATTGTAATAATTATACTCAACTAAAGACGTTTTTAAACTGCTTCAGTGACTAGAAGCATATGAAAATTGCTTTACAGCTGCTCTAATAAGGATTGCAATGAATACCTCTTGGAATTGGTGTATCAAATTCTTCAGTCTCGAGTTTATTGACCATTTTAAGTTAAACATGCACGGTATATCCTAAGGAAGAAGTCAAAGAGACATTTAGACATACAAATGGAAGAGTTCAAAGACAAAAGTAGATTATAGGAGACCAACCGCTGCAACTGAAGGTGGGCAATTGGGATAGTTTCTATCCAGTTGAATCTCCAAAACATGCAGTCTTCCTCTCTTATCTCTAGCATTCAATTAGAGAAGGATAAGTCCTCAAAAATAAGCTTGAGAAGCTAAATAATCATTGTAGATATGGGGAAAGTTTTAAAAAAAACTAACAGACATAAGAAACATCAAGTGCTTGTGTGTGATACCACCTGAGGGATAGCTCAAGTGGTCATAAGTTATTGAATTAATAACCTGTTAGGACCAACCCTCCCTACACAGTAACCGATCCAGGATCTTCACCAGTGAAACCACTGAAGGTTTACCAGAGGCGTCCACATCCAAAACGGGTAAATAGTAGTAATTGGCCTAAATTATTCTGCTAAGCTCAGATTAGTTACTGGATTCACTAGATTAATCACGTAACTGTTTTCTTTAAAAGCTTTGTTTTTCATTTCATGAATATTCTGTACCATTCTGTTTTGAATTGGAATCTGCAGTAGAAATAGGACAGTGCAGATGTACGGAAATATATGCAAAATTTTGAAGAAAATCAATCATTCTCCAAGAAAATCTATTCCAGAATTCTCTCCTCTATAATTCTACTACTCTCTCTTTTTTTTTTCTCTGCTCATTTTTCTTCTTCCTTAAGCTCTATAATCTCCCTCTTCATCATTACATCCTGCACTTTTCTCCCCAAAACTTTCCTGTTTGGGTCTATATCTAAGGCTCCTAACATAACCTTGTGAGTCTCAGTTTTTCAGTCTACATCATGCCATACCCAACTTACAGCTCAAGTCCTCCCGTATCATTATCATCAAGTTTAAATGGATCAAACGGAAAATGGCCTCCTCTAAGTGAATTTCCCTATAGGCAATAGTAAGTCTATGAGTGAGAAAGTGACCCATATGGTAGTATCTATTACAGACTACACATGATGCATGTGCATATTCCTCAAAAATTCATAGACAAAGCTTAACAGCATCTATATATGTTATCAATTTAACTTCTGTTGAGGAGTAAGGTTCATGACTAAAAGCACAAATATAAGATATTTCATGTGCTTATGGTTTATAAATATATAATCTGAAAACTCATTTTTTGGATCTTTCATTTGCAAGTTCAATATCACAAAAGATAACTGAATCTCAGCCACCTGACTTCACTTTATAGTTATACTAATAATATACCGATTTATCATAAAAATGGTTGACTTATCATTTATTTTCCTCTTTGAAAATCAAATATTCCACATCAATTCGAGATTTTAAAAAATAAACAAGAAAAAAAACACTGAATTCTCATCTAACTGCGATAATAATATTAACCAAATAGCAAAAGTAATCATAATAATCTTACAGAACACGGAAGCTCAGAAACGTAATATCTCCACTCATTCTCACCAGATTTTCCCATCCGACCTCTTCTATCTGCATATACAGAATTATAAATGTTAACCGGGGTCAGACCCTTTATTTTGGATTACATGATTGAAAAAATAACACACACAGCTGTATATTCAAAATTTATAATATGGATACTGAGAATTCTCCGAAACATCTGAAAACGTAAATTTGATATAAGTTACTCTCATTCAAATGTTTAGCTTTTTAAGTCCCAAAGCAAGGAAAAAGGAAATGACAACAATTCACGTCACCTCCGAATATACTGAGCGATAAAACGACGATGACGACGACGACTTAGCCAACTCTCTGCATCTACTCTGTTCTAGACATTCCTGCAACGCCAATAATTTGATGAACATCTATATACGGTTCAACGCAATTGCAGCCTGAAATATCATACTCTTTGAAAAGTCATTTCGGATTATTATCGAACACTTGGCGGGCTTCTTGTAGGTGAAAGCTTTAAAAGCAACTACCAGATTATAGCGGAAGAAAATTCTAAAAACTTACTGAAAGATCGCTAAGCGAAGCAAGGAAGGTGACAAGTTACTACAAACCAGATAAACAAAATAAATAAGTAAACAAACAAATAAGAAATGAAATGATACGAAGACGAAGTACCATTTTTGGTGGGCGGGGGAACCTTCAGAACGTTCGGATGTGCGCGAAGTGGCCACCGGGCTCAGTTCACACGTCATAGCTTCACGTCATCTCCATCAAAGTCAAAGCGATGTCGTTTCATAGAGGAGAGGAGTTGTCCCTTTATCACTTAAATCTAATTTCAATAATGTAAAAATATTCAAACAACAATTTAAACATATCGTAATTTGAAATCTCATATTCAAACTCCTAAAATTTTTAATTCAATTTTTTACAATCGATATCACTTTTTTTTGTATAAATTGTACTTAATTTAATTTTTAAATTAATCAGAAAAATCGTAATTATCTTTTAAATATAAGTTAATTCAATTATTTTTTGCTAGATAATATTTTTTATATATAAATTATTGAAATATGTTCGAA